ATGTCTTTTGCTCCAACTCCTTTAAGGTGTTTTTGTACCTATCTTAGGTGCGAGAAGGCTCAACTCTTTTTATCTCTTTCGCTTTGTTCATGGAGGAGATCTTGATGGGGGTAGTGTTGATGGCAAAAGCTTCCTTGGTGGGCTTCTTCCCAATCTTGTCTACCTTCAGAGCGAACACCTTGTCCTTCTTGAATTCGGTGATTGGCTCAATTTTCCCATGGTTGGCGATACTCAGCTCCATGTTGTGGGAACGAGTCGCCAGTTCCTCAAATGTCCTTAACTTTATGCCTTGGAGGATATAGTGTAGCCCTCAGTGCATGCCTTGAACACGCATCTCAATGGCGGAGGTTTCAGAAAGCCGATCCTTGCAATCCAGACTTAATAAACGCCATCTGTTGATTTAATTGATAACCGGTTCATCCTTCCATTGCTTCGTACTCGTCGGCTCCATTATGCTTATGGTGCGGCGAATGTTGTAGAAATGGTTGAGGAATTCCCTTTCAAGCTGGTCCCAACTGTTAATGGATTCGGGCTCGAGGTCGGTATACCAGTCAAAGGTATTACCTTTCAGCGAGCGCACGAATTGCTTGACGAGGTAGTCTCCCTACTAGGGGTGGGCAATTGGAACCGAAAACCGAAACCGAAACATGAATTGAATCAAACTGCACCAAACGGTTTGGTTTTGCGGTTTTGAAACGGTTTTGGTTTCAAAACCGAACCGCGACACACAAAATGGTTTGGTTTCGGTTTTGGGTTTTCAAAACCGCACCGAAACTGAAACCGCACCATATAATAAATAAATGTTATATAACTTATATTTTAAACTTTTCAACTAGGTTATAACTTATAGGTTTGGTTTTGCCGTGGGTTTGCACTTCGACTCCACTGCTTTTGCTTGCATCTCTACTTCTGCCTTTGTGACTGTTAGTTTGCGACCTCAACTCTGCAAATTTTGGTGCAGTTTTGTGCAGTTTTTGGTGCAGTTTTGCTGCTGTTTTTTATGCAGTTTTGCTGCATTTTTTGGGTGCAGTTTTGTGCAGTTTTGGTGCTGTTTTGGTGCTGTTTTTTTATGCAGTTTTGCTGCATTATTTTTTGGTGCAGTTTTGTGCAGTTTTTGGTGCAGTTTTGCTGCTGTTTTTTATGCAATTTTACTGCATAAATAGGTGTATATTTTAAATTATACATTTTTTTTCTCAAAAACCAAACCGAAATCGTTTGAAACCACACCGCACTGAACCGAACGGTGTGGTTTCATTTCGGTTTTGGCTTCAAAACCGCACCGCAAAATGTTTTGGTTTCGGTTGTGGTTTCACTCGAAACCGCACCAAACCGCACTGCCCACCCCTACTCCCTACGTCCTAGTATTGTTGCAAGTTTCAATGATATGGGCAATATGTTGTTTAGGATTGCCTTTTCCATCCAATTGCATGAACTTTAGCGGCTGATAACCCCTTTGGCATCCTCAAGGCGTCAATCTTCTTAGAGTAGGGCTTTGAGTATAGCACGGAGTCATGCGAGCTTCATTCGTATTATGCCTTGATGGAGCTAGTGATCATCTGCTGTCGCTGCTGGAATGAGAGAGATCCCATGAGCTCCGTTACTTAGTCAAGCTTCTCCTCCGTTTTCTCCACCATAAGCTTTTCCTTTTCCTAGGTTTCCTCCTTTGGTGGATCAACCTTCGAGTCAGCTTTGTCATCGTGCTGCGCCTCTAGGCGGTTGATGAGTGTGGCAATTTGCAAGTCATTCTCCTATACGGTCCTTGTTAGCCTTGCAATTGCTTCAAGTTTTAAGCTTGAAAACAACGCGTGGATGATCTTCACCTCAAGGGTGCGGCAAATGTGGTGTTTGATGCGGGATTTCGTTGTTTCAAGGGTCTTGGCGACTTGATCTTGAAACGAACGCTGCTACAAGTTTATAAGCTTGCAAGAAAGTCTTGAAGGAATCAGCACGAGCGCTTGTTGATTCTTCAAGGAAGTGCTTTGACTTTGGTCGAGACAAAGCTTCGGCTTTGGTTGAATGCTCTTCGGAGAGAGCTTTAGCAGCGTATTAGTCTTCAAAGGTTTGGCAGAGGTTCTTCTGTGTAAAGATTTTTCAACCCTTATGCTTGTGGGAGGACCTTTTATTTATAAGCTTCTCAAGGCTTGCCCTTGGGTGGAATTAGCTTTATTTGTATCTTGATTCGCCCATGGGATAATTAAGGCATATTTTGTGTCTTAATTTCAGCCACCTTTACTCCCTTGGCCGAAATTTAGAGGCTTTATTGCCTATTTTGTGAACAATCTTCAATTCTTGCTTGTTTTGTGAAGATGCCTTGGCTTTCTTTCCTATTTTAGGATCACTTTAGACCTTTTTGCCAAATTTAAGGGAGTTTTCTCCCTTGAACCGAGCTTTGGGAATGTTTTATACTTCCCTTGCTTGATTTATGCCACTTGTCATTAATGACTTGTCCATTTGTGATGAGTCATATGCCACGTGGAGCTTTGTGATGCATCATTTGTATGCGACGAAATTTGCATGTCTACAGTTGCAAAGCAAGGTGTAATACTAATCTTATTTTTATAAGTGAGGGTAGGCCTAGGACTACTCTAGTCTTAGTACACCTCCGCCAGTGTACGCTGCTTGTCATAGCAGCCCTCAAACATGATGGTCGGGATGATTTTTCGCTGTTTGGAAATATATTACACAATAACAAAACAATGATTAAATCGTTGCCCCAGTGGAAGATTGAATTCTGTGAACGGGAGATGAATAAAGTTGCCTGCAGGTTAGCACGAATGACTCTTAATTGCGTAAATCCTATTCTTTGGTTTGAATAATCTCCTTATGTAATTTTGGGCATTCTCTTTGAGGATAGTAACTCTTAATTTAATTGATGTGAGACACTCTTTTTCCCTTTGACCGGGTTAAAATCCTCAACAAGGTTTTTATCAAGACCCTTTGCATGCACCCTATCCTCATCCATTTGTATGTATTTCTCCCATTAATGAATATCGTACTTATTTCTTAAAAAAAAATCAATAATAGTAGATTTACATGTCAACATATTTAAATTTTTTAATAATTTTCAAAACATTGCATTTGTTATATTTATATATATGGCTAAATTCGATATCATATATTTCTATTTATAATTTGCAACTTTTAATCCGTACCAATTATTTTTTTTAGTTTTAATGTGTGCCATATATTTAATTCCTTTTTGTGCTCATATTTTTAAACTTTTATTTGTACCCTTAATTTTAAAAATATTTTATTTGTCCTAATAATTTTAAATTTTGATATGCAACCTAAATCACGTCGGGGGTGCATTTTGTGGTTAACAATTTTCATTTTCGACATTGAGATTGGTAAGGATATATATATATATATATATATACACATATATATATATATATATATATTTTTTTTTTTTTAACAAAAATGAGATTGGTACATTCTTTTGACATAGAAAACGTGTATGGATGGGTACATTTTTTTGACATTGAGAACTATATATACAGGTGAAATTAATTTTTTTTTAATCCCACAAATTGTGGGTATTAAGTAATATTCTACATTTTTAATAGGAAAAAAAATCTCATAAAATGGGAAGTAATAAAATTTAAAATTTGTAACTCTCATGATAAGTTAATACAAAAATACATTACATTAATATTAATATGTTGAGGGGTAGAAGTCAAAGAACTGTGATAAAAAATTGAAAATCAATAAGATTTTAGTTAAAGAACCTCGAGTCAAGTTTTCTTTTCTTGAAAAGTTGAAGCTCCCAGACCCTCCAAACAAATGATATTTAATAGATTACGAAAAAAATGCCTCCATGGTGTCCACACGAATTCAAAATAAATTCAAAACTGAAAATGATATAAAAACCTTTTAAATTACAAAAATACATGCCACGATGTCGACACTAATTGATATAATGGTGATTTGGTGAATCCTCTTGACTCAAATAGCTGGGATGAAAAGACACCTTAATCTCTATATATATATATAGTGTCCCTGCTCTCTACAACATCTCGATTGGTGCCTTGTAACCCTTGGAAGTCATGCCTGTCTTGTTCTTCTTCTTATGCAGGTAAGTGAAACTTTAGGTATTTATTTACATGTATGATGTGATCCTAAATCCATGTTGTTGCTCTTTGGTTATGTCTTACGAGTGGGTGCCTTATAACCTTCTTCTTCTCCAACATATTTACATAAACTCATCAAACTCTGAAATTTCTACACTAAAATAACGAAATTGATAGAGCGAAAAAAACTGTAAATTTGAATATTTAAAGTGTCGCGTAGGTTGGTAAAGTCGTGTTTAAAGTGTCGCATATCTGGGAATCCGACGGAAATACTTTATTAGACCTTTAGGTTCGCCATCTCTTTTTACGGATGTATAGAAAACATAAGAAAACCCAGCCCAGTCATATTAGGGCTTCACTATCATTATCAACTGCTCTGTTAAACCGGGTCCGCATTGAAATTGACAACTTATTTAACTTGTGGTTTCATGTCGGCTCTAAAGCACACGTCAACCTTAATCTATCTTATTTAGTGTCTGTTTCTCCACCGAATCCAATCCTTAGACGGCAATCGATATCTAATCCAGCCTTAGCCGCAAATCAAGGATTTTGTGGTTTGTGTTAATTTCTGCCAAATTTAATTCGGATTAGTGGGAGATTAACAACATCACCTCCTCCTCGGCGTGAGTTGGTTCAGAAAAGAGGGTCTCCAAAACCAATTAAATGTGAAACGCATTGAACAGATGCCTTCCAATCACCTACCTCAAACCATACGACCCAACCAACCACAACATTATGACACAACTGCGTCGAGGGAGGCCCACAATCCCTAAATGGTACGTTTTCTGTAAATGGCCATCCTTTCCCGGGTGCATTATTGTCCTTTCCCAAACATATTAGGTCGACTGAAATTTCCCAAATCAGATAAACCCTAAGATTCATGGCAATTGGCAAAGATAAACAAATCAACATTATCCCAAAACAAGCCGATAACATTAAGGAGGAGCAGAGTATATTAATGTGTATGAATCAACATCCAACCACTAGCCACAGATCCACATTTTCTGCCAGAATTAACACCAAATCCTCACTAAAAACACTTGACCCAACAGACAGAAAAAGAAGACGAAAAATTACTACACCAAAAGGAATCATCATCCACTTCATGTTGAATTCCAAAGATTGAAATCAAAGGAGATGACCCATAGAACCGAATACTTCCAAACACTCGAAACGAGTTTTTCATTCTTAGAAACCACGACTCAATTAAGCAAAAACCAAACAGACCACCACCACAAGCACAGAGACGGTGAAATGGAAACTACGGGTTTAACCCCTGTTCGGGCACTCCCTTGCGAAATGGCCCGACTCACCACACTGATAACAGCCTCCGGAAGCACCTCCGCCTCCTCCACCGCCGCGTCCGCCACCGCCATAGCCGCCTCCACCGCCGCCGTAGCCTCCACCTCCCTGAGAGCAGTCCCTAGCCATGTGTCCGGATTCGCCACACTTGAAGCACGCACCACCGCCACCTCCTCCACCTCCGTAGCCCCCGCCACCACCTCCGTAGCCACCGCCGCCCGATCCGTAGCTTCCACCTCCGTACCCACCGCTTCCACGGCCACCTCTACCCCCACCGCTACGTCCACCAGAACCACCGTTAAAGCCGTAGCCTCCGCCACCGCCTCCGCGGCCTCGGCCACCACCCCCGCCACCACGGCTACCCTGTACGGGACCCTCCTCTGGGCCAGTCACGTCGACAGCCTTGGTTCGGCCACCGGCATCCTCCTCGATGGTGTACTCGACCGTCTCGCCGTCTCCGAGAGTGCGGAAACCTTCGGATCGGATGGAGGACTGGTGTACAAACAGATCCTCGCCACCGTCGTTGGGGGTTATGAAGCCGAACCCCTTCTGGTCATTGAACCACTTGACGGTGCCGCTCAGTCTCTCACTCATCTTTCTCTCTCAATCGCAAATCTCAAAACCCTAACCCTAGAAATTCCCCTCTCTCACAACCACTGTCGGTCTTTTGGCCTCAGGGTTTGACAGCTACTTATACATCCAATTCGAGTGAAAGGGTCCGACTGCCACGTGGCGACCTAGAGAACCCCAGCGACGGCTCCCTTATGCCCTCACTCCATCCTACGGCTGGGATATTTCTTATTTGTACGGATTTATGTGGGCCGCTGGATTGGGCCTTGGAATGGATACGATGAAATACGAGCAGTCCATTCACAGTGTCATTTTCGTCTTTTCAGTACTACACAAAATATCTTCCCTCTTCTTTCCTCCACGTACTTGTTGTTATTTACCTTTAAGCCCAAGGTGGAGGGGCACTTTCGGGAATGTGGGACAATGGTGCTTGGTTTCAAGCAAAAATATCTAATAATTAAGTTTGTTTGTTGAGAAATATGGCAGTGAAATTACGTTTGGGCTCCCGGGTTCGCATGAAAAAACGAGCTTTTCCTTTGCTGGTGAGGGGACTGCTGCGGTCAAACGGTCAAATTGACGGTCAAAGCACCTGCAGGTAGAGTCTTATCTGCTGCGTCATGTGAGCCTGCGCAACTCTCTTGTCTTTGGACTTGGATTGTCTACCCTCACATTTCGGTGCCCTCCTCGTGCCCTCCTGTTTATGTGATCACGGTTAAACCACGTCAACATTTTATATTACTATTTCTTTTTGTTTTATTATTTTTATAAAAAAACAATATAAAATGTTGACGTGGCTTAATCATGACCACACAAAACAGGAGAGCACGGAGAGGGCACCGAAATGGGAGGGCAGACAATCCAAGTCCCTTGTCTTTCCAACGAATAGGGTTCGTACCTGCGAGATTAAATGGATGCTATCAATGAATATCAATGAATGAGGATCTTCTCCGAATCTTTTTAAAAGGATTCTAAACATCTTTAAATTGTGTTTGTTTACCATATATCATACCGTTAAAATTTATTTTTTATATTTTATTTTAAATTAAAAAGAACTTTAACGAAAAGTTTCTGGTACTATTCACTTTAACGAAAAATCAAATTTTTACATTAAAAAGTCAATATTGATACTATTCACTTTACCCTTTATTTTGTCATTATCGTTAAAACTCAAAGTTTTCAAATCTTTTTCATTAGTTTTTCTTAAATTAAATATGAATAGTATCTGGCGAAAATTGATCGCACAATATATGATAAACGGACACTATTTGAGAATCTCCAAAATTCTCACGAGAATCCTGAGCTATCAATTTTCTCTAAGTGTGTACAACTTATATATTTTGATTAGGGCCGGTCCATAGATTTTTTAGGTCCTGAGTGACGCTAAAAAATATGCCATCATTTCATATAAAAAAATTATTTGTTTTTATACGTAAGACATCGATAAAATTATATTTAGAAAAGCACTTCAAACTTAATAATTTAGAAACACTAAAAGACTAATTTATTTTGTACCGAGAGAAAGAAACCAAAAAACTTTAGGCTTACAAGTAGATAGATTATGAGTTTTGTCTTCCATATGAACTTTTAAAGTGTTTTTGCATAAATCATGAGGTTTTTTTCTTATTTACTAACCTCGTCAATATAAGACTAAAAAAATAATGACATTTTTGAGTCTTTAAGGATATGTATAAGTAATGAATCGGCTCCAAATTAAATCTTTTGATGACGCGTTATATGATTTGCAAATTTAGTCTACGCATTATCCTTTGTTGAAGATTAGACTTGAATTAGAATGAACGTTTAAAAATAGTAACCCACATAGTTACTAGCTAGTAATTAAGAATAAATTAACAACCAAACAAAAATTCGTAAAAATTGAAGAAAAAAAAACATGCACATAGCATTTCGAACTTAGGACCTCTCGTTAATTTTAGATACAAAAACCATTGCTTCTAATTAAACTTTTGATCATTTAGCCAAATTTTATCAATTTATACTGTTATGAAAAGAAATTTGTAAAAATTGGAATTTAAATAAGCACATATGGTGTTTTGAACCCAAAACCTCCTCGTTAATTTCAAACAACAAAATCAACGATTCTAGTTAAATTTATTTATCATTAAACCAAATTTTATAAATTTATACTTGTGACGACCCGTCCTTATTTTTCACTGTAATTTCTTTTCTATTGGTGTGAGTTGATGATTTTACCCTTTTTGGACAAAAGTAGAATCTGATGTGGATGTGGCTTTTGGTTTTCAGTTTCATTTTCCTAGTTTCGTACTAAATTAGTACTCGTCGCTACGAGCGCGTGAGTGCGTGTTAGACTCGAATAAGATCTATAAAGAAAAAGTTACGCTTCGTTAAAGTATGTTAATCATAGGTAATTTTGTACACGCGGGTAGAAATTTACAGTGTCAAAAAACACTGTTAAAGAGGCTGATTTTGTACATTTAAAATTGTACAAAATCCCTAAAAGTGGATCCGGTCCCCTCACACTTAACCAATCAAATTATTCAATTTGATTTTTCCACTAATCCCTCACCACCATTCCTTTTCCCTTACTTTTCTCCTTCACTAATCAGTTGATTTCCCTCATTTAAAAGCAACCAATCAGATCATCACCAACAAACCCATCACCCAATCGAAGAACACTCTTTCTCTCTCGCACATTCTCTTTGCAACTCTTTTTAACAACATCCAAACCCCCTACAAATGTGACTTGTAACCTACACCTTTGAACTTCCCTTAACCCAATGATCACAACCGTGTAACCAGATCTCGATTTGGTTGAGGTTTGACTCACAAACTCGGTGAGTTCTGGATCGATGTTTTCAGGCTGAGTCGAGGAGTTTTGAAGGTCGGGGAAGCTTTCTTACAACTCCCTAAGGTTTTAAGTGAAGGTTTGGTGATGAATCAACCTTGAAGCACAAGATTAAGAGAAGTCCCAGTTTTAGCCGTACATTTCGAGGCTTTTTCAGGCCACCTCCGTCCACTTTTTGGACTTCAAAAAGGTATAACGCGATTCTACTCTTCATAAGCTTTATTTCCATATAATGTTTGTGAAAAATGGTTGAGAAATAAAGAAGATATGAAGGTTTGAAATTTTAACCAGAAACCGGTGAAAATTTCCAGATTCCGGTGAGTTCAGACCGTGGCGATCGGTGAGGACCATCGGAGAAGACGACGGAATATTCCGTTAACTCTGATGGAATATTCTAACGGCATCAGGTAACATCGTTAACTTCTATTACCTTTTAACGAAATATTCCTAACAGCCGTTAGGTCTCTATCAGCTCTACCTGCGCGTGTGGCCGTGCCATAGCCGGCACATCCGGTGTCCAAAAATTATTCTAAAAATTTGTGTAGGTCCGTGACGTCGAGTAGATCAATTTCATATATTCAAACCTTATGTTTGAGCAATCTACAAAGGTTTTATTTAAGTTTTAGTTTGTGTTATTAAACTAAGTTAATTAGTAATTTCACATGTAGGGGAAACGTATCTTGAGGACGTACGGGGTCAAGCAAGGCTCGGAGGTTTTGTTTGAACTGCGTATCTGTGAGTGGGCAGTTGTTTTTATACCTATACATAATTATAGTTTCCATAAATGCATATTTACTTCACTTTTACGCTTATATTGCAAAGTATTGTTATTGTTATATTAATTGTGATAAATGCTGCTATATGGTTGGGATATTACTATCATGACATTCATACATATCTGTACATGTTCATCTTGCTGCACCGATGTTAGTACTCGCGCTAGGGCCAGGGCCAGTCCTTCATGTGTATGTTCACATCGCACCGTTTACTCGCCTTGGATCCAAGTTAAGTGCCAGTCCTGTCGTACAGTTTGCATTAGGCAATTGCGGCTCGTATGTGACGTGCTTCTGCACTAGCCTTCACGTGATCGTAGTACTAGAGCGTATTGATTACACCTAGTCCTGTTCGTGTCAGAAATTATCTGTACGAACTCGTGTGTCAGTTTAGAGGGATGAGGACTTAGTTATACTTGATTATCACATGATTATATTACTGCGGCATTTGATATATCATAACTTGCATATTCCTGGTTATATTGCTGTTGTACTTTTGTTTACATACTTACGTAGTATGTTTTACGGAAACTATACTTGTTTATAGCGACGGGTTACTATGTTAAAAATAAAGGTTTTTCTTATAAATGTTGTTTTATTGACCCACTCAACTTTGTTTTTCGCCCCTCCAGGTTTAGTAGTTGTGCTTACATATAAACGAGGATTCTGGCAAATCTCAGGAGATGGTTACCTTCAGTGGTATAACCTTCATCCTATTTACTATATTGTCTTATGCTTTGACATCACGTGTGAAATGGGTTCAATCCCGCTCACCCGCACGCTCTTTCGATTAGGCACTTTTAAGTTTAAATTTATTCACATTCTTCTTCCACTCCTTCTAGGTGTCGGCCAGCATAACTCGATTCGGAGTTCAAGTGGACATTCCGGGTCGAAGTATGTCAATACTCTTATGTAAATGTATATAAATATGTCACACTAATAATTTTGGTGCCCCTAAATTTTTTTGGGCCTCGGACGATCGTCCTGCCGGCACTGGGCCTGGGGCGGCCTTGATTTTGATTCTAATTTTATTCTTTAAGGTAAATATTATTTTACACTTTCAAGTTTTGATGCAATTGTAATCTCTTATTTTCTGTTTAAAATACTATAATATTATACATAAACGTATATTTTAGTTTTGATATTATACATTCATTAGTTAATTCGTCAATTTTGCTAAACAATAATGTGGCAACTATGAGTTCCCCTTTATTGTTTCATGTGGCTGTAAAAAAAATTCCACATAAAAACAAGCAATAATTTTTTGTGGCAACATTTTTTAAACATTTTGCATAGAAAACTAGGCATCAACCTTTTTTCCAAGATTATGGGAAGGTTGACTCAGACCATGTCCTTTCCAACCTCACCTTTACTTGCGACCTCGCTAACCAACGCCAAGGTCTGCAAGCTCAACCTCATCTATTCCTGCATCAAGTCCATGCGCCTCCGAATCGTCGAGCATGAGAACTGTATTGACAACATCAACCAGACCTTCGACGCCCAGGACTACGAGT